ATAAGCCAGAGAGTTCAAGAAGAGCTAGCAGATATTTTTGCAAGCAAAAACTTAATTACAAAGGAATTTTTCTTCTACACATTTTTCTATAAATTTGCTATGTAGTTATTAAAAAAAATAGATAATATTTCTCCTAGCACATTCCTTATAAATTTTTTCCATTGTCAAAATCTAACAGGTGTTGAGAATAATTTGCTTTTCCCAAGTAATCTCTTGGACTTAAAAAATTAAACTTGCTTCCCCATGTTGGCTGGCAGCCTCAGTGTAAAACTCAATCTCTTGAAAAATTCCTGAGGGATTACTTTTAAAAGAAATTCTTAAATAAAGATATTTAGCAATTAGTTAGGTCGTCATATGTAAACACCGTGCTCATAACAACTGCATTTTACTCTATAAACTTGGGCAAGTTATTTAACTTCATTACGTTTCAGGTTCCTCATATTTAGAATGGGCAGAGTAACAGGACCTAGTTCTAAATGTTGTCATAAGAATAAGATACTACAAGACACGTGGATGCTTATAGTGGGCTGTGACACACAGTAAGCACACTAAACTTGCATTGTTTATTTTTGTTTGCATTTTCACTATGGTGTTTATTAAAGCCCTTACCAACATCAGTTCTAGGTTTTGATATATGCTATTTAAAAATCCTTGCTATTAACACACACAAAATAATAGAATAATAATCCTTGCTAAGGCATATTTTTATCTACATTAAATTACTTGTTTAATTTTCCCTGAGAAATGACTCTTATCCTTTTTTTTTTTTTTTTGCAGTATGCTGCAAAAAAACAAACTCTGAAGCACATATATTTCCATTCCTGCATTTAATATGAATTAGGGAGCATCTGTTTAGTTTATTATAGCTAAATTCCACTATCTACAGCAATACTAAAACTAAATACATATATTTGAAGTGCTCTTGCCTTTAAAGTTGCATGTTGCCGGAGAAGGTTTGCAGCAACTTGTAAAACACTAATTTTCCACAAACTGAAAGTAAATGTTATTCTCACACTCTGATGTGTAATTGTGCATTTTAAAGCACATCTACAAATACAAATAAGTAAATACATTACTCTAAATAAAAGTCTTCAGAACTTAAAATTTAAAGATAGAACTTATCCACTGGCTGGGAATTAGTTGATTTCAATTTAAAAAAGATCAGTTTCTCGCTGATTCTAAGTTCTTATACTCTGAACTACAACAGAAAGCCAGATGACCTACCTTGATGAGGTTGTGTCCAACGGCATAAACATCTGCTAGCCTGCCTTCCTCTCCAGGGGCATGCATACCTGTACCGTATCCATGCCAAGCAACTAGGTACGGGTTGTGAATTGTAATCCAGTATTTGACACGGTCCCCAAACGTCTGAAAACAGTATGTGGCATAGTCATTGAAGAAGTCTATGATGCTTTCATTTTTCCACCCCCCGTATTTCTCTTGCAATGCCAAGGGCAAATCCCAGTGGTATAAAGTGACCATAGGCTCAATGTTTCTGAGAAGCAGAGCCTCGAGAAGGGCATTATAGTACTGGAGACCTTTTGCATTGGCATTTGCTACTATGCCATCAGGGAAGAGCCTTGGCCAGGAAATGGAAAACTGATAGAAGGATACTCCTAAGAAATCCAGGGCGGATAAGTCTTTTTGCAGAAAAATGTAGCTGTCACTGGTGCCATCCGAGCTGTTGACGTTCTTCAGGTGCGTGTGGACGAATTGATCCCAGATAGAGGGGCCTTTCCCATCCTTCTTCCCACTCCCTTCCACTTGAAAGGCACCCGTCCCAACACCCCAGAGAAAGTTTTGGGGGAAAGTGTCATAGAGAAACAGTTGGCTCTCGTTTACCGGACTGAAGGGGACATTTTTAGACCAGACAGCTTGCCCATCTCCGGAGAAGCCGGTGACAGCTCGCAGCAGGATCAGTGCGGACAGGATGACAGATCTGCGAGGTTCCCAGGTGGACATTGTTTCTCTGTGGTGCGCGCCTCTCTCATCGGTGCTGGGGGAAATCCATTCATTCCCGGGAGAGGCTGCCGCACAGCCCGCAGTCATTTGCCACTTATCAACGCTTCGCTTCGGGAAAAGCTGGTGATTGTAAAGCTCTGTCAATGATTAGCTTGAACCGGGAGTCCTAGGATGGGTCAGGCAGAGCAACGTAATTTGAGGGAGGTGGCCCTGTGACAGCCACCAGCATGTGGAACGCTCTCTCCCTGTGGAGAAATTAGATGAAAATGCATCGAGTGTGGCAATAGTTTGAATGTGTTGCTATCAAATCCAGACAAACAGCAAAGCTGAATGAAGAAAAAAATGAGCTATTTTCTGTGTGGCACTCCAGATGGATCCAAATCTTTTTCTGAATGTTTGGAATAAGGAGCTTTAACTGTTCTGTTTCTGTCATTTTGGGGGTTATAATATTATTATTAGGCATTTCAGACAAAATCCTGCATAGAGGTACATTATCTTTGAATTTTTTAAAGTGACTAATAAAGAGAAACAAAAAAAAAATAGTAAGTACTCTGCAAAAATGAAAACAAGAATTTTTTAAAAAATTTATTTTATTTCATTTTTTGTGTGTACCGTCAAATCAGATCTGACAGGTACAGGAGGAGATTGTTCCTCCTTCTCCAGCAGAGCATCTGGTGGATTTGAACCATGCACCTCTGAGACTGTAGTTGCAGCTTCTTGCCACTAGGCCACCAGAGGTCGCCTAAAACAAAGAATTTTAATAGAGTGTATATGAATGCATGAAAAACAAAGTAAATGAAGGATTGTATAAAATACAACACTGTAAATACATTTACATTGTTTTTCATTCATTCATATATGACTTAAACTGAAGTGCTTGCTGCAGAGGGTCAAGGACTGCAGCCTTCAGTATGGATTGAGGCTCAATGTCAAAAAGACAAAGATTCTCACCACTGGACCAATTGGCAGCAT